GGGGGGCAGTGTTTTTTGTTTCTAAGAAAACGTCCAGTAGCTATTAAATGAGCTATGATCGAGAGACAGACTAGGGACAAGTTTCTTTCCTGGAGGAGAATGAAATGCAGTTGCCACAAGTCCTGAAAATAGTCAAATGTGATGAGTATTATTCAGTGAAAAAGACGATTGGACAAAACAGACACTCACTATTCTGATGATATATAACATCGAATCTTGTATATCATTGTTAATTGACCTGTTGATGATTTGATTCAATTTTGATAATTTAATCAAACGCTTGAAGTGATGTAATGTTAGCTGGTTCAGAACCTGGCATCGTGAATAACTTTTCCTTTTGAGAATCAGACAAGGGCAAATAATAATATATTGCAATGGTATTTATTGTTTCAGAAACTGTTGTATCTTTATTGCCATCTGTTTCATGATATCTTTCCCTCTCTTTCTACGACTCTTTTCTTTCTATATTCTCTTTTTCCTTTTTCTGTGTCTTCTTTAAAAAATTCTATCACTTGTAAATAAACCTAATTTATATAATATACTTCGTTCAGGTTAATACAATCATATATGTCGACTTTCGCCTGTGTGTGTGTTACAGAATCATGTTTACTGCTGGGCTGTTGGCGGGTTGATGAGTCCCACCCGGGTATGCTGTTGTTTGATTCTCCGCTGGACTACGGCCTTCATAACCTGATCCCCGCCCTCCCCCGGCCCGCTGGACTTGTCGCTGACGTCAGTGTTGACGTCACAGCTGGAGATCTGCCTCCGGTCACGCTTCACACCGTCATTCACGTTGCTCCAGTCTACACTTTATCAGGACTGGACATTCAGTAAGTTGTTTTTTTTTATTGCATTTCAAAAAAAAGATACACAACACATACAGAAAAACAAAAGGATAAAGTTCAAGACTAATAAAGACATAGACCACGGATCCATAATATAATGTAGAAAATAAATAAACTATAACGTAAATAATAATCTACCATAAGTAACAGCAGATTAACAAATGATAAATATCAAAAACAACCAAAATATTAGAACAATGTCAAACAAAAATAATGTAGACAAAACAATGGCTTAAATATAAAACTGGGGGAGTTTACCTTCAGTAAGTTATTATCATGATCATGATCATGATCATCCAGGATTTTGAATGTGTGTGTGGGGTGGGGGGGGGG